TCACAAAGTAATAGGTGTCCATTTTTATTCGTTGGGAAGAAATCCCAGCATGCATCTGTAGGAGTTGTCTATGAATTTGGTGAGTGGGAGTTTTTAGCAGTTACCACAAGGAGAATGTAAGCAACAAAGGGAATCTCCATTTTTGCAATAGAAAATTTGATTTACTTTAAGCAGGTGAATGTTTGATTTTTACTGGATTATTATAGAAATTATATTATGATTACTTTTTACTTTATATTGCATGTAATTATTATTATTATTATTATTATTATTATTATTATTATTCCTTTGGATTAATGTTGTATACATATTTCCTTTCGAGTCCCAACCAGAGACCTCAGGTTCAGAAATGGCTTCCTGACATTTTCCACTAATCATTTTTGTGAAAAACAAAACAAAAAGAATAGCCAAGATCACACACATTTTACATAGAAAAAGCTCTTCGTAATGTGTGAGCTGTACTTGTGAATATTTTGTATTTCTTTGCTACATTGGCTACTAGGAATCCCTCCAATGAGTTTATTGGACCCTTTTCCAATAAATCCAAGGCCTCCAAATGCAACTGGAATTAATGATATCCTCATGTGCCATATTTTTGAGATTTCCATTTCAAGATCATTGTATTTTGATAGTTTTTGAAGATATTCAAAGATACATAATCTGCAGTGGTTGTATGTCAATAAGGAAGTACATTCTGCTCTTGTGGTCTTTGTTCGCGATGTCTGGGTGATTAACTTTGGTTGTTTTGTCTGTGTGTATTGTAAAGTCCCATAAAATTGTTACAGATTCTATCTTTGTAAGCGGGTCTGGGTGATATTCATACCAGTTTCTTGCAGTTTCCTTCCCGTAAAAGTGGCATATTTACCAGTGTAGATATTAGCCCACTTTATCATGCCGAATTTTTATTTTCAGTGGGTACTAACACTGTACAGCCTTATACAAGATGGCCAATTGTTTTTGGATACTTATTACAGAATCTGCATTTGGGGGTCAACACAGTTTTTCAGTGTGCGTTTGGTATTTTCTAGTTAGCAAGCATTGATCCTCTGCAGCAAGAATAAAATCTTCAGTTTCAGCTTTTAACCCTGAACTACGTAGCCACCGATGGTTATGGGGTTTGTCTGCACCAGCTTGTTTGGTACGGGCAGAGTATTGACCATGAAGTGACTTATCTTACCATTGTTTCTGCCTTTGGTACATTGCATTTGCTTTTACTTTCTTTTTTAGGTTTTTTGCTACTGCAGTCGGTATATTATGGTTTATTTGCACGTCTTCCCCCACTTGAAATTCCCTTTGGAATTTGGTGGCTTCCTTTATTATTGAATAAAGTTTCTTATTTCTTTCATGTTCCTTTAAACAGATCCTTATACAGTCTTCTGTAGCTTCCAGGTATCTTTGAAGATCGTTTTTTGTGGTTTTGTAAGACAGTTCTAATTTAACTAATCGTCTGTGTCCTTTGGATCTGGGCACATACAGACTATCAACATCAGCCTTAGGATAATGCATGCGGTGGCAAGTGAGAAGCTTTTTCACATCTATTTGCTTAATATCATGTATGATCTAATTAAGGATGTTGAAACTGTATTGTACCACAGGGACAGCCAAAGTGTTTATGGCTGATATTTTGTTTTGTGAATTCAACTCGGTATTTAACACCAGACGGACACACCTATAATATTCTTTTCTTACTTTCTTCTTCATTTGGATATGTTGTATTCCATTTTCTTCGCTGTCTCCATTGTATTTATTGGTCTCTTCTTGTTCCTGTTTCCTAATCTTTGTGACAAAACCTATATCTACTGAGTGCGTTTCTGTAATTCTCCCTTTCTTGACTGTTACTTTTGCACATTTATCTAATCCGAAATCCATGCCGATGTCGCCACTAAAACATTTTACATTATTGTGGATACTCATCGACTCATTGTCATTTTTGGCAAACAGTTTGATATCATCAATGTAAAATAGGTGATTAAAAATTTTCTTTTTTACTTAGTATCCATAATTATTTCTGTTTACTTCAAGCGAAATGGCGATTAGGGTCAGACAGAACAGAGGGGAAGACAGGGAGTCTCCTTGAAAGATTCCTCGTCGGATATTCAAACACTTGGAAGTAGCAGCACCTTTGGCGTGATTTAGCTATGATGTAGTTGTCCACATTTTCTTGCTATATTTAAGGAAATTTACTATGACCAAGGAGACTTGGTAAATTTTCTAAAATCTTAGGTTCCACTATTGTGGCACACTGACAAATTTTTTACGATAATCTATCCAAGCTGCGCTGAGATTGCTACCTTGCAATTTTCCAGGATCATTTTAATTCATTAGTTGTTGATCTTTGCAACTATATGAACATCTTCGATATCCCGGGGAATAATGTTGTTTTCATCGAGAAAAGAGTAAGTACAGTTCGTCAAGACAGACGTGAATATTATTATTATTATTATTATTATTATTTTCTTTTTTTGAATTTTTTTTTTGATTTCTGGCGTTTACACATTTTTTTCCGAGTCCCGCCCAGGGACCTAAGGTTAGAAATGGCATCATGGCACTTTCCACTGACAAATAAAAAAAAAAAAAATTACATAGATAAAGCCCTTCGTAAAGTGTGGGTTGTACTTGTCAGAACAATTTTTTGTATCTCCTTAGGCATGGAATTCCAGGAATCCCTTCAATTCGTCTACTGCAATCTTTTCCAAGCAGTCCTAGGGCTCCAACTACAACAGGGATTGTTATTATTATTATTATTATATATTTTATTTTCTTATTTTTTATTTGCTTTTGTTAATGTTTATATATCTCACATGTTTATGCATGGTTGCATATTAATTTTATTAATTTCATTTATCGCCCAGTTCACATTCCTCCCCGCTCTTTTGATCAGGGGTAGAGGTTTATCCCTTGTTTCCTGTTTAGGATTGGGTTTCCGGTTCATTTTAAAGTCTTCTTATTGTCTTAGAGGCATTATCACCTTGCTAGGGGTGAACTGATTAAAAAAAATCCATTTGCATTTGGAAATCGAAAATGCCTTTGGGCCAATATTGACCAAATATTTGTTGAGAACTAATCTTCGCTTTGTGATAACGCTTATAAAACTTTGGCTTCATTATTTCCTGCTCTTTTAAATGGCGAGACCTTCATGCATCTTAAAAGTTTTTGATAGAATCTTTCGTACTCTTTGTTGATTTCATAAGCAATGTCATATAGATATAGTTGTTGCTTGATGGTAAAATTGTTTATATTTTAATAGATCTAAATAGTTTAATTTATTTTAATTTTATTTAATTAACTTTGTATGCTCGAATACTAATCTCGCCGTAAATATAGAATAATATTTAACAATTTGACATAAATATTTTAGAAGAATACATTAGAAAATCACAGAGATTCATTTAATTATTTCCTGCATAAATGTTTGAAATTTCTCAACTTGTTCGGACATTCGTTTAATTTTCATCTAAGTTATTCCTCTATAAATATTTTTATGCTCATAATCTTAAGATAATCTTAAGATAATCCTTTCTTTTTCATTCACCGAAGAAACTCTCTTATTTTTCCTTTTAAGTCAAATATTTCTTTAATTCTAATAATCCTATGATATTCATTTATTCCCCATCTTCCTAAAGTATTTTTACGCTCACAAATCTAAGATAATCTTTTATTTCTCATCGTCCAAGGAGACTCCTTTATTTCTCACTGTCAGTTATGTGCCATGATTGATACACGCTTAGGCGATCATGTATCTTTTGATATATGACTGACGAGGCAGATTTTTTTCTCCAGTAAGTTGCCATTTCTTTCTGCGGTAAACCAATTGCCATGGAAGGCTATAGAAAACGGTCTGTCCTGCTATTTGGAAAAGGTATGAATAATTCTTCTACTCCCCCTATGAGTTATGGATAAATAGCTCATAGGGGGAGAAGAAGATTCATACCTTTTCCAAGGGCATTAACACGTAAGTGAATATCATGGATTCGGCTGGAATTCGAACTCGGCTCTCCGATTTCGCAATTTTATTTTTCATTACTCCACAGTACCTCCTTTATTTCTCATCCTTCTAAATTACTCCTTTATTTCTCATCCTTCTAAATTACTCCTTTATTTCTCATCCTTCTAAATTACTCCTTTATTTCTCATCCTTCTAAATTACTCCTTTATTTCTCATCCTTCTAAATTACTCCTTTATTTCTCATCCTTCTAAATTACTCCTTTATTTCTCATCCTTCTAAATTACTCCTTTATTTCTCATCCTTCTAAATTACTCCTTTATTTCTCATCCTTCTAAATTACTCCTTTATTTCTCATTTATATAAAATATATTTTAATTCTAAGATAATCCTTTCTTTTCACTATTTACATTATTCAGACTATTGTCCTCATCTTTGTTGCCATACTTATCACAACGTTTCGACCGTTGTACGCTTCTTCAGGTGGTTGGAATGTCGAAAGGACACATGGCACAGTGGGTAAAGATGTTGGTTAGATCCAGTGACAGGACCCAAAGAGTTGTGATTTCAATACCTGGTTAAGGCAGTGGATAACCCGAAGAGGTGAATTAACAGGAGATAACTGATAACTGACTCTCATTAGACATGGCACGTGGAACTAGAACAGTCTATCCCAGCGAGCGAAATAAAGAGTTCAGTTCATTCCAACCATCTGAAGAAGGCCGGAGCGTACAACGACCGAAACGTTGTGAAAAATATGCCAACAAAGATGAGGACAACAGTTCGAATAATGTAAATAGTTTACATAATACCTCATCTCAGAAATATAGACAAATCCTTTTTTTCTCAGCCTGCAACGACACTCTTTTATTTTTCCTCTTTCTTATTTACTCTTTTGTTTCTGATCTTCCTTATACTCTCCTTTCTTACCCACTTACTGTATTTCGTTTTGTATTTTTTGAATTATATTTGAATACTCCTTGGTAATTACAGCGTCCAGTTAATTTCTTTTGATACGTTCTTGTTCTATTGTCTTCTTATTGATGACAAGCAGGTTTACGGCCGTACCACGTTGAAACATCGGTTCTCGTACGATCACCGAGGTTAAGCAACGTTGAAGCTGGTTAGTGCCGCATATGGGTGACCGTTCGGGAATACCAGGTACTGTACACTTGGATGCTCGGGTTGTGTAATGGATAAAGTGTCAAAATGAGATCGAAGAGCCGAATTCGAATTCTCATCGGGTTCATCATATTCACTTATGTGCAAATAACCTTAGGAAAGACATGAATCCACTTCTTCTTCACGTAGCTATAGGTTAAATAGTAAGACATTGATCTGAAAATCATTATTATCTGCAAAAAATAAATTCTTACTATCCCAAAATATATTTAAGCTTTAAATAATCTCGAAAGGTTTGATAAGTGGCTTTATTGCCTTGTTTGGGGTGAAATGATTAGAAAAAGACGGTAATGTTGGTTGGTTGGTTGTTTTGTTTTATGGCATATCAAAACCTCAGTTGATCATTTAATGACAACAAATTTTTTTTAAATAGATACATAGCGATAGTTTGGTAAAAAAGGTGTGTATGTATAAATATATTTGAATCATTTTTCGATTACTCATATTTTTGAGTACAATCACATGTATTGCTGGTAATATTTTTTTTCCAAAACGTATTACTGGGAATAGTTTTTTTTTAAATTAATTTCTGGTAATAATTTTTGTCAAAGTATTTCTGGTATTAAAACATATTTTTACACTTTTATGCTTTTTATCCCAGTTTGGGGGTTAACTATTTGCCCATAGTTGGAACTTTAACAGGTGCTACCACCCCGGGTCAGGGTGGACCTGGGGACACCAGCAATTAAGAGGTGGTTCCACGTTCATCAAAACCTCCTTATCAGAGGCCTTGCTGTTGGATGTAGTTTATTGTCTTACCCTGGACGCGGATGTAGTTTATCGTCATGCTGGGGACGCCACATTGGGGGAGGGGGTCTTACCCCACTGCAGAGGTGCAGTTGGCGTATTCTACAGGCCCAGTCGACAGGGTGAAAAAGATGGTAATTGATCTATATTTGTTCGCTTGATTTTTTTTTCATTTTGGATGAGGATTGTTTTTTGCCTCTGTTAATTAATGCTTGAAATTTTTCATTAAAGCATATTAAAGTTACCAAGCTTTTTGCATAACGTACATATCAGGTATTCGGCTATCATATTCACTGATTCTATTTGTGTTTTACAATTGTAATGTTGGTTTCAAATCGCAACAAAAGTTGTTTTAATTGCTTCCATTCCTCACTCCTGTAAAGAAAAAAAAAGCTGTAAACACGTTAAACTTAATATTTGACCCAAACGACACCGTTGCTGAATTGTTGATGTTCTTTGTTTTCGATTCCATTTCTTAAACATAACATACTTCCATTTTTTGTTCTTCTATTCCAATTAAAAACTCATTCTTGATGTTTTTTTTTTAGTTTTTCTCTTTCTTCCATGTTGTGTCGGAAACCTACCACCCCTCTTGAAGATGAACTTGTCTGCGTCTGTGAACAGAGACTTTGAATAGTGGCATGTCAGTTGACATGGGGGAAGATCGATAGACTCCGAGTCTAGCTGAGTCGTGATACAGTCTTTGACTGTAAGCGACGTCTGTCGAACTCTCTGCGTTAGCAGAGAGGAACCCGGACGAAGCCCTTGCCGAAGGGCAAGGTTTCGTCCGGGGAGGTAGACAGGGCCTGAACCCGTCTAGGCGGGTTCAAAGGCTATATTTTTGGCCGAGCCTACGGGCTCGGAGATACCCACATTAATTCGGCCTTGTGCCACATTCAATCCTCGTGGGTGGATCGATAAATACTAAGATAGATAGACAGAGAAGTTCTTAGCTGAGCTAGTTATTGACTACACAGGCTATTTCTGTACCTTTTTACCAACCTATTAAAACCCTTTTTATTGTTACGTGTTATTTGGCGTTTGTCTCTACTAACCCCAAATCAACATCATAACATTCCACTAAAACCATATTTATTCTTTTTCGTTTTTCTTTCATTAAAATCACTTTTTTATTTTTCTTTGACATTGTCTTTTACTTTTTTTTATTAAAACCTCTTTCTTGATACTTTCTTTCTCCACTATTTTCATTAAATCAGTTTTTAATGCTTTTTGTTTTCTTTTCTTTCATTGAAACCTCTTTCTTCATTATTTTTATTTTTTTCTTCTGATAAAAAAATCTCTTTCTTGATTCTTTTTCTTATTTCTGTCTTCATAAAAACTTCTTTTTCTTTTTACTTTTACTTCCAAGAAAAGATTTTTCTTGATGTTTCATTTTTTTTCTTCTTTCATTAAAATTTATTTCTTGATTCATTCTCTTCTGCTGTAATTCTTGTTCCTCTCTGATGTTATTGCAACACAGAAATCAAACGTGGTCGTGCAGCACAAGGCGGAGTTAATCTTTGAGATGACACAACTCCAAATATGCTCTGTTCAACGGTTGTATAAAAAAGAATTCTATTTGCTGCATTAGTTGGTTCCAAAAGACTTAATTCCAAGCTTGACAAATTTTGTGGTAGACTTCTGAGAACGTCTAAGATTACATACGCAGGCACTTGTTATTGGAGACTTAATGAAATTTTAAGACGTAGGTTCCTTTTAGCAATTTCACCGACACCGAATTTTAAAATGAGGCAATTCAAAAATGAGTATAATAAAAATTAAGAAATTTGATTTATTTTTAAGAACTAAAATTTATCTCCCCTTGACTGGACACCCTGAGCTTAGAAGTCTGAATAAAATAACAGCGTTCGACTACATAATTAACGAGATATGAAGAAGGAAGACAATGCTGCAACTGATGCTGCAACTGATGCTGCAACTGCTCAATAAATAACTTATTTCGTTTGCTTTCGGATAGAAACTAATAAAAAGGATTTTCCTTCTAGAACTATCTTTTTTTTTTTTAGCTCTTGACATTCAAATCAGTTTTGTTTAATCATTCTACTCCAAGCAAGGCGATAAAGCCGCTAAGACGCAAGGATGGTTAATGAGCATTCATCCGAGAAAAATCATTATTAAGGAAAGAGGACAATAAACAAACAAAAATTAAAAAGAAAGATGACGATTGACGCTGTATTTAAATTTTAGAAGATCAAAGCTGACTGGCAAGTGAGAAGCCAGCAGAGAATTCCATAAGCGAGATGTCCGAGAGAAAATGTTAGCATGAAACTTATGTTTACATCTAGCAATTTCAGCTGTAAAATGATGAGATCTAGTTGCCAATCTAGTACTGCGTTTAAATTCGTAAAATCGACATGCTAAAGAGGGAAAGCGATATTTATTCTGTACAATACAGAAATGTGGCACAAGGCCGAAAAGGGGATTGGGGAAAGGACGGTCTTCTGTCTTAACTATAACTTAACTAGCCGCAAGCACTGACCCAATCGTACGAAACAATATTCCTTACACCAAAACAACACATTCATTCGTACCTTTCTACAACCACCATAATACCTCTTTGTCTCTATGAAAATACTAACTAGTCACCATATTTACAATTCGTTGTCTGTGGGGGAAGGGAATAAAACAACAATTCTAAAAATTAACCCCAATGAGTATTTACAATATGCATACAAAAACTATTTACAATAAACTAAAGAAAATAAGATTAGTAATAAAACCCCCCACAATTACTAAATGTGACAGAAACATCAGTTCACTGGCCGAAATCAATGCGGGACTATAATAGAATAAAACATTCATTCATCCCAATCACTCACACTGACATGCATTCATTCAGACACAACAAGTACGAAAAAAGCACTCACGCGAAAACGAAAGGCGCCCCGCATCCACCAGCGAACTGACATCACTGACCACCTAACGAAGGAGGGGATGGGGAATTAAACTTAAAGAAAAAAAATAGGGACAGAAATAAAAGGGGGCCATGCTAAAGAGGGAAAGTCATCAGCACGATTGCCATGAAAATATTTATAGAAAAGACACAAGAAAGCTGTTATGGCGGTGTGTCAAAGGGACTGAAGTTCTAATCAACTTCGATGTTTACTTTATTTATTCCAGTATCTGACATCCGATTTGTGTTCTTTTCTTTTGTTCTTCAAATAAATGTAAAATTATAAGTTCTCACATCATTCGATTAGACTGCTTTGAAGTGAATTATAATCTTCACTTTCTACTGACTTCTTTAACATAGCTCATTCAGTTAACCTCTACCTTGAATTGTTATCGAGCCTTGTTTGCATTGGAGTTAACTTTAGTATATATATATATATATATATATATATATATATATATATATATATATATATATATATATATATATATCATCATCATCGTCATCGAGGGTCTGATGTATTTAATTAAGATTCTCGTTGTCTGCTTTGGATGACAGTACCAAAGTGTCGCCGCGCGCAAGCAACAGAATTCCCCATCTCGGGGAAAGCCGAAGCAATGCAATGGAGGGCAGGGGGCAAATTTTTCGGAGTAGCGTCCTAAGTATATTAGATATCGCCAACAGTTGGTTCTGCTAGAATATTATGAAATCATTAAAAGTAATTATTATGTGTTTAGCAGTACACTTCCATCTTGAGAGACGATAGGCATATGTCTGGAGTTTTTGTTTTCAATCCAGCTGGTGGAGGCAGCATTGCGTCAGTTTTATTCAATCGAATGCTAGTGAGGCGATGCTGGAGTGACCACCCCTGTGCGCATCTTCTTCTTCTTCTTCTTCTTCTTCTTCTTCTTCTGTACGTCGTGTCCCTTCAAGACTTTGTATATCATGGTTCTCCACAATTTTCTGTCCTTTGTAGCTCTTAATAACTTTTGCCCCTTTTCTGTCTCCACCAAACGCTGTCCCGCCATCAATTTACTCAAACCCGCTAGGTAGGTTATGCGTTGCTTTGCCCTGTCTCCCTTAACTTCAATCTGCCTGTCTTACCTTCCAAGCCCTCTTTCCTCACTATGTGCCCCAGAAATTTGAATTATCTCTTCCCGATATCATGTATAAGTGTGCTTATGTTTCCATTTTCTCTAAAACTTTGTCATTGCTCACATATTCAGTACATGACATTCTCAGCATCCTTCTGTAGAACCACATTTATGTTGCTTCAAGCCTCTTCTTATGCGAGGAGATTGTCCAGTATTCACTGCCATATGGGCA